GCCAGACCGGACGGCAGCGGCCTGGTCATGAGGGAGGCCAGCATCTCGGGCCCCGGCTCCCACGGAGCTCCTTCAGTCGCCTGGGAAACCAAGATGGCGGAAACCCAGGGCGCCTCCGCGCTGAGAGGGACGTGCGCCTCACGCCGGGCGGCGCTGCGCGAGGGCGCTCCTGGGAGCTGTAGTCTCGAGCGGTCCGAGACCCCGCCCTCCTCCGCCTCGGCCGCCGGAGAGGAGAGACTACCATCCCCAGGGGCGCCCGGGGGCGCATGCGTTAACAAAGAGCAAGCGCGTCACGGGAAATGTAGTCACGCGGCCCTAAGGAGGAGGGTGGGTGGGTGAAGCCGGCGAGGCTCTTTCCGATGGAGGCGGGGCCTGGTCGCGCGCGGGGGGCGGGGCGAGGCGGGGCGAGGCGAGAAGCGCCCGGCGATGGCGCGAGTTCGAGACTCGCCGGCGGAAAGGGACCTTGGAAGGCCCGGGCACCTCGGGAAAAATTGACCTGGGTATCAAGATGGGCTCTTAAAAACACATCGACGTTTAAATACATAGATCTGTCTTAAAGACCTGCCTACACAGACCTACATACCTACCTACCTACCTGCCTACCTACACACACATGTATGTATGTATGTATGTATACATATACATACATACACACCTACACATGCAAACAAACACACAAATAGTATGTGTGTTTAACACAGTATATGCACAACATGAGTGACTTGCAGAACTGGAATATTATGGCAAGAACAATAAAATAGGGTTGTATACGAGGCAGAACTTATTACTACCTTGGTAGGCACGGCATTACATTGTGTGTGTGTTTGCATGCAACTCAGCAGAGCTTTGAGGAGTCGACTCTCCCTGATTCAATGGGCCTCTTGTTGGAGATTTGGCCCCCTTACAGGGTGCTTCGGGTAGGAGTGGCCAGCTGGGAGGGACCTTTCCGGGCTGGGGTGACTGGCAATCTCTCCAGCGCTAGCCTCTTGTTCCTTCCCTGCCTCTGAATTCGAAGAGAGCTCCCTCTTCTGAGTTCTTTCTTTGTGGTCTGCAAGCAGCCTTCTTTGGCAAGCTGGTGAGGCCTGTTGCTGCAGGTCAGTCCTATTTTCCAGTTTGCTGTTGATCTGTAACTAAATAAAAGTTTTTTCTTCTTTCTCATGTCTCACAGGGAGTTTTTGAGACCATAAGTGCCAGTTGATGAGATGAAGGCGGTGCACTAAATTGGGGGACTTGAAGCTGTTCTGCTCAGTGAATCCCTTGCACTTCGGCTGCGCAGCTGGAGGGATTTAACCAACATTCAAAGCTTTGCAACAAGGCAGTGCTGGATTGGGACCCGTAAGGTCCAGTTCAAGAGCTCACCAAGCCATGAAGCTCGTCAGGCGACCTCGTCCCAGTCACCCTTTTTGTCAGCCTGACCTACCTGATGGGGCTGTTGTGAGGGAGAACTGGAGAAGAGGAGAGCTCTATACACTGCCTTTAGTTCATAGCAGAAAAAGTATGAATGTAGAGGTAACAATCTATATGTTATTATCTTCCATATTCAAGAGAGAAAAGTGGAGGCTTGCCAAAGACTCCCCAGACATTTTGTGGTGAACTGGAAGCCTCTCACCTGACAGCTTGTGGGTTGAGTTACTATCTAAGGAAGATATTTCGGAGACACTCTGCACACGATCAAAGGCACCCTCTACATCATGATCCAGGACTAAGCCTCAATGGGTTTTGCAGCCACGGCCTGTGATTCGTGGGAGCTTATTCAGCAGGAAGGACCCCCCATCTCTATTGCTCATAGGTACCAGCTCAAGCAGACAGCACAGGCTTGCCTGAACTAATGAGCAGATCATTACATTCCAGACCAGGAGGGACTGCTGTTGGCATGGCAGTAGCTGACTGAGAAGCCAGAGAAATACGCAAGCAAAGGAGAAGCCGTGTCTCTTCCCTGAAGGACAGGTGAGGCTTGTCCAAGAGGCAGGGCTGTGCTGGAAGGAGAGGGGGAGCGATCACGGTACGGCCGCTGGTGCTGCTGCCCCTTAAAATTCAGAGGAGCCCTGCCTGCAGGAGCTGAGTCATCTCTGGCAGTGACTCAGTGCCATCTCCTGAGAGACAAAGCCAAGCCAAGGAGATGAGGAGGCAAAGAAGAAAGCTGTGGGGGCAGGGCTGGCATGTGGGGGGGGAGGAACTGTTTGCCTGCCTGTGTGCCCAACCGTGAGTTGCCAATTTTACTCTCAATTTTGTTAATGCAGAAGCGCTGTGCTGCCTGATGCTCCTCATAACTGAAACCAGGCACATAAATATAACTTAGGAAACTTGTTGTGTTGGATCACAAAGCCCAGCATCCTCAGCCAATCTGGTCCTGTCCAGAGGCCCTGCTGGCTGGTGCATTCCAGAACTGTAGTCCCCCAAAGTCACTGGGTGCCCACAATCTCTTCGTAATACTTAATCCCCTTTGATCAGTCTATAAACAAAAGGCGTACTCCTGCCTTGTTCTGACCTCTGAAATCTGCATAACCCTCCAGGATCCGAAGCAGGCTAGCTCCTGGCCAGGCCTTAGATTCCCTTTTGAGGCATCCTTGTTACACAAAAGGTAAGATGACCATTCTTTATTAGTGCCCTGTCAGCAATATGTGGTGAAGTGTCTTTTCCAGAAACAGGAGATCAGGCGAAGGTGTGAACTGGTCTGTTTACAAGCTGATCTTGTCCCTAGCAGCTCACATTCCCATACCCTCACAGAAACACTGAAGAATCCAGAAACTAGTTTTTTGATTTCCTATTTGCCAAGTCCTTCACAGGAAGAATGATGTTATTCAGTGTGGTGTAGTGGATAGGGTGACTGACTTAAGATCCCGGAGGCCTGAGTTCGAATCCCCACTCAGCCATGGAAACTTACCAGGGTGGGTGGTTGAGGAGCTGCTCAAGCCAAGCCGGTCCTTAAACATCTCACTTACCTTGAAAGCCCTCTTAGGGTTTCCATCTTCTAACACAGTTGACTCTCTGTTGTTGGTGGGCAGTCAAGCTGGCGCAGCCCTCTCTGTGTTGGACCGTCAGCTTCTTTTTGCTCTTGTTTCTCAAAAGAGATTTGTGGAACACCAGGATTTGCTTTTTCGTCCCGAGAAAAGCCAATTGAATAATGGCTCAGCCTCCCCCTTCCTTGGTGTTTTGTTTTCTGGGCTCCAAAGAAGAAGGAGTGCCAAATATATATCCCAACCGCAATCGATAAAATGAAAGCTGAGAAACTCTGATTTCTGGAAAAGGCATCATTAGCTTTCATCCGGGAGAAGCCACACTGAGCATGAAGCTGATCATGGGCACCCTCCTGTCCTTAATGGCCCGCTTGCTGTTTGAAGTTGCCTCCTGCGGTGGCCCTCACGCCTGTGCCGGCGACAGGCTCCTGATCTCCCGCTTCTCTTTTCGTCTTTTTCTGTGGGTGGGTTTCTGTGCTTCAAGATCAGTGAGATGTTCAAGGAGTGCTTTTACCTGTTCCACTCCCCCCGGTGAGTTTCCACGGCTGATCAGGGATTCGAATCCGGTTCTCCAGAATCCTAGTCTCTCCCTCTGTCCACTACACCATGCTGGGGATCCTGATGATGATGATGAATCAAACCCCCAACCACTGGCTCTGCAGTCGGAGACCTAAAACCACCGAGCTATCCAGCCAGCTTTTTATACCATTTTTTTCTATATGTCTTTTAATACATTACTGTACTTCGTTCTGTGGTGCAACATCAGAATTAGCCGCTAGAGGGAACCAGAGGGTGTGTGGTTGCATTTTGTGTGCCTTTGGTACTGACTCACATCTCACAACAGGTCCAGAATAATGGCTGCAAGGGAATAATGAACCTCTTTGAAGAGGCATCCTTTCGAACTCTGGCCCTAGGGCGCAGCGGGTGTCTGCATGGGGTGACCTGAAGCGAACTCTTTGGGTTTTTTCCCCCATCCATGTTCAGAAAAAGAGAGAGCATTGTGAGATATTATTACTAGCTGGAACACCCTCTCTCTTTTTTGGAGAAACTGGTGGTGCTTTCACTCTTAGCAGTGTTTCAGTGTTTCTTGATTCCATCTTTCTCGTAGCTGCCGAATAGCCCAGTGGTTTCGGTCTCTGGCTGCGAAGCGAGAGGTTGGGAGTTCGATTCCCCCACTGGGCCTTCTTGACAGGGGCTGGACGTGATGATCCATAGGTTCCCGTGCAGCTCTGACATTCTGTAATGATGATTAAAAGACAGAGGCTTCTGCCACGGTAATGAGTGTCTAGATGTGAAACTGCTTGGAAGCCTTAAGGATGCCTGGAGGACTGCTGCATTTCCAAAACGGGGATTGAGAGGCTGTGAGGTGTGGCCAGAGCAGTTGGTCGTGTTTTAAAATGTTGTGTTCAACATTTATTTGACAAACAAAATGCAACATTAGTGACCAACGCATA